TCTATCAGTCTATCTATCTATCTATCTATCTTTCTATCTATCTATCTATCTGTCTGTCTATCTATCTATCTATCTATCTATCTATCTATCTATCTGTCTGTCTGTCTATCTATCTATCTATCTATCAGTCTATCTATCAATCAATCAATCAATCAATCTCAATATCTATTTTGTAATAAAGTAATCTATAAAACAATTACAAATATTTATACCAAATTTAATAATAAAATACAAGAATTTATATCAAAAATATAAAAGTATGTATTTCTAAATTATGTATATTTATTGAAATGAACATTATTATTAAAAAATTATTTAATACTGTAAAATAAAATACTTAATGAAAGTATTTTTTATTGTTAGTTCAGGTTAACTAATGCATTTAACTAATGTTACTAAACTAATGTTATTTATTTATTTATTTAAACCAAATATTTAATTTATACTAGGGCTGGGTTTTGACACAAATTTCACGATTCGATTCGATTCTCATTCACAAGCTTGCGATTCGATTTTTTAATATAGGCTAAACATTTAAATGGTGGCTGTCATACAAAACCTGACGGATTTATTCAAAAAACTAAACATTGAAGAACAGTAAAAAATATAATAAATATGCTATATTTAGCAAAATGCCCCTCTCTACAGTTTATTTTTCTATCTGACTAATGAGTTTATGGTCACCGAATATGTTTTTTCTGAGGTAAATGTGACGTTACGTGACACATTGCTTATAAGCCGTTATATTGATGTCTTTGCGCGGCTGAAACACTGATTGAGCGATTAACATGAGACAGGATACGGATTGTAAGTGTACTCTTTCTTTTAACTTACCTTCGGATGTTTAGTCATGTTTACTTTGTGCTGAAACTGGTATTAATGCGGAGGAGATGATCAGTTCACTGAGGCGCTACAGCGATCTGTCACCACATTAAACAGCGCCAAAACTGCATTTATTGCTTTAATACTGCAATACAATCTGCAATATAATGGCCAGAATTTGAAATCTGAGACTTTGTTTCATATTAAAAGTACCAAAGCACAAAGCACGATATACTGGATGGGAAGTGCCCTTCAATGTTCCGTCCATTAACTGAAAACAGGCTAAGACTAATCGATTCTTGGGATTTAAGAATCCATATCGTTTCGTAAAAATGAGAATCGATTAAAATCGAGATATCGATATTTTTTACCCAGCCCTAATTTATACCTAACTTAATAAAAATAACAACAAAAAAAAAAGAGTATGCATTTTGGTAATGAAAGTTTTGGGATAAATTGTCCTGAAAAGATTACATAAATTATCCTAAAACTAGGCTCCATTTTCTTCATGCAAAATCGAATTTCTTTTGGGTTGAAATTTGACCCAGTCCTTCTTCATTACTGACCCTAATATGAAGGTGGTTTAAATGATTTGATCACAATGATCCCTTTCAGTGAAGCGATATTTGCTATTTTTATTTTATCAATTAATTCGAATTTAATGTTTGCCATGATTTTATTTTTTATAAATCGAGGAATCACGGTTTTGAATAGAAATATTTCCAAACGTTAGAATTAGACACTTTGACTATGCTAATGATAACAGTAAAGAGAAAAGAACAATCCAACCGTATGTCGCACACGTGATTAACCGCTCATATCATACAGAGTGCGCTTTTGTGATGACAAAGATGCGAGGCAGGCAGTGGAATAGGAAGAACATGCAAGAAGGTGGGAGTGAACTTCTTTTGAGCGCTGCATTTTTATAATGCCGTTTCATACATGAGATGCTGCAAGAGATGCGAGGTCAACAGTCATAGAAAAAAAACAATGCAAAAGCAGCGCAATCGAATAAAACACCTGTAAAGAACTACTACTGTATGTCTGATATTTCATGTTTGCATCATGGTGACAGGCTGACAGCTGCTGTTCATTACAGAACATTTATAGTAATTAATAGTCTACTGGTGTTATACCTTCAGTCATTCTGAATTTGAATTACCTTGACTTTGAATTTTTTTAAAGCATTTTCCTTGTATTATTTCGGTACGTTTGTACAAGATACACAAGATAAGACAAGTTTGTACAATTAGTTGCAGTTCATGCATCTTTTCTGCAAAAATATTTAACAAGATTGTTATTTACATTATGTTGACAACTTCATGTGGTGCACTGGGAATAGAATTTTCTTAACAAAGAAACAATGTTAACCAAGAAAATGTTACTTGAATCATGTTGTAGTTACATTTTCAAGTTGACTAGTTCAAAATCGAATAAAAATGTTCTGGGGAAAAAAAAAAAAAATCGAGATTTTATTTTATTTTTTGCCATATCGCCCAGCCCTAATAATGTGACCCAGGACCACAAATCCAGTCATAAGGGTCAATTTTTTGAAATTGAGATTTATACATAATCTGAAAGCTGAATAAATAAGCTTTCCATTGATGTATGTTAGGATTTGATATATTGATGTAATTTGATGAATTGTTAGGACAGGACAATATTTGGCAGAGATACAACTATTTGAAAATCTGGAATGGTGCAAAAAATATCTAAATGTTGAGAAAATCACCTTTAAAGTTGTCCAAATGAAGTCCTTAGCAATGCATATTACTAATCAAAAATTAAGTTTTGATATATTTACAGTAGGAAATTTACAAAATATCTTCATGGAACATGATCTTTTACTTAATATCCTAATGATTTTTGGCATAAAAGAAAAATGGATAATTTTGACCCATACAATGTATTTTTGGCTATTGCTATAAATATACCCCAGCGACTTAAGATTGCTTTTGTGCTCCAGGGTCACATATGTGATTATGCTCATATGTGAGTGTTTGAGTGTGTTTTCACCTGGCTGGCGCTTTCTTCATGTGCTCCCCGATGAAGGTGGCGTTGGTCATGCCCATCAGCGTGTTGGCCAGCGAGATGACGGAGAGCAGGTGCTGCGTGGTCACGGCTCTGGAGACGCCATACGTGCCTTTGCCCACGATCTCGGAGACGGAGAGCTTGCGGCCCTCGGCGCATCCTTCGGCCAGCTGCCGGAGCAGCGAGTCTTTGAAGGTGGGCAGCATGAGCGACATGTGTCCTCCGCGGGAGATCAGGCCGAAGGAGACGGGCGTGTGCGGGCGGAGCATGCCCAGCCGGGTCAGACACACCTCGTCCAGCTCTCCGTTCAGACCCCAGGCGTGCAGGCAGGACATGAAGAGCTTGGCCGTGTCCATGGTCAGATTGTACTCCAGCAGACTCAGAGACTTGGACTTCTCCTCACGCCGCCGCTGCTCCTCCTCCTCCTCCTCGTCTTCATCCAGCAGGTGCTCCTTGATGTTTTCTTTAATGGTCTCCTTCACCTGTGACATGAGATAAACAATAGCATCTTAAACTATAGCTTTCTTCCTGTAAAATCTGAATACAAAAAATAATATTTTATAAAATATAAAAGTTTTAAATGTAAGTAAATACAATTAAATAATAGTAGTGCTGTTAAACGATTAATCGTGATTAATCGCATCCAAAATAAAAGTTTTTGTTTACATAATATATGTGTGTGTACTGTGTATATGTATTATGTATATATAAATACACACACATACGGCATATATTTTGAAAATATTTACATGTATAAATTTATATTCATATAATTTATATCATACATAAATATATTTAAGGTATAAACATAACATATTTTTCTTAAATATATACCATGCATGTGTGTGTATATATACATAATAAATATACACAGTGCACGCACATATATTATGCAAACAAAAACTTTTATTTTGGATGCGATTAATCGCGATTAATCGTCTGACAGCACTAAATAAAAGTAAATAGAAATAAACATACAAATAGTATAATTAAATATAATATTTAATAATATAATTTTTTAACAAAACAAAAAAAACATTAAGGTGTTTACACGAGCTGCTTTTTGTTCCTTTCATGTTCCTGTTTTACATGTTATAGTACATAGATCGATTAATAGCACACGTTGCGATGCCATCCGACGTCAGAATTTCACGTATAAACATAGTTCGTCTTCGTTACGATGCCATATACAGTTTTGGGTGTTTCATTTTTAATTTTTCACGAAAGCTTCAAGTGCAGTTAATTATTTGTCATGCTATACGTGCAAACAGACAACAGCGTTGATAAAGCCATGCTCTTTTGTTGTAAAGATGTAACTGTAAAGTGACTGTAATGGGGTAATCACAATAGCCTTTTTACTCAATTACTCTGTGCTTTTTTATTATTTTCATTTTTAGTTGAGTAAATTTAACTTCTGCTTTAAAAGCACTATTTTTGTTTTTAGATTGCAATGTTACAATGTTAGAATGTAATGTGATTTTAACCCTTTTTGCACATAATATATGCCTACATGGTTACATTCACTTTATTTGTTTAATCCAAATACAAAAATACATACAGTATACTGCAAATCAGCCAAAAAATACCGAAATATGAATTTGTGCTCATATCGCCCAGCCCTAAAACTAGCAAAAGTCTGAGTCTGACCTGTTTGAAGATCTTATTGGCTAGGAAGGACCCGCCCTTGTCGGCTCCGCCCTGCGCTTTCTGCAGCGTCTCTGGCGAGATGAGGGTGGGATTGGGCCGCTGCGCCTCCTCCGTCAGTAACTGGATGATCACGGCCTCCACGTCGAAGAACAGCACATGCATGTCCGGATCTGTCACGTTGGTCTTCATGGCCTGCACCACCAGAGAGTTGTGCGAGTATTTGGGAAGGTTTCCCTGCAGCGAGACACAAAGAAAGAGACCTTTATTACAGAAAACTAGAAAGGACACCTCAGTTTTGTGTGCTGCTGATGATACAAAGCAAACTGTCTTGTGAGAAAAATGTGTGTGAAACTGTAAAGTTGAACAACGGAGAGGTTTGGGTCAATGATTTTGCTCCGGCGCTCCGGATGATGAAAAGAAAGCTGCAGTGAGAGCGGATGAGAGTGATTTCTGAACCAAACAGCCTTTTCCTTAAAAGCTAAACCTGCTCCTTAAAAGTCAACAGGCTATAAAACCACCGTAACAACACTGTAAGACTGATGAAACATTTTCTTCTTTTTTATAAGAGGAGAACTGATGAAAATTGATGCATCATTCAAAATGAGTATATGATAAAGTACATTTTGCATTAATAATGACTCAGCAATACATTTTGGGGAATATTTTTTAAATAAATTAAAATAAAATAAAAAGAAATACATTTAAAAAGAAATTAAACTAAACAAAAAAATTAAAATACACATGTTAAATAAAATAAACAATTCAAAAATAAGAAAATAAATAAGAAATCAGCAAAATAATCATGGTAATTAATTTATATTATTCTAAAAACAATTAGAATTTTATATTATTAAGTTTTTTATATTAATTGATGACATGAATAAAACTAAATATTTTTGTGTTAACGTAAAATTAAATTTAAATTAAATGTAAAATAAATTTAAAAATAAATAAATGTAAAAAATAATTTTGCAAAATAAAAAAAATAAAAAAAACATTAATTAAAATAAACTAATCAATTAAAATAAATAAATAATTTAAAAATAAATAAAATAAGCAAATAACAAATGAAAAATCATGATAAATTTATTTTATTCTAAAAACACACCATGCAAATTTTCAATTCAATAACTGAGATAAATTGTGTTCATTTAAAAAAAAAAAAAAAATTAAAATAAATAAATAAATTGGAATAATTGAAATAAATACATCAAAATAAATGATGAAATAATGAACTGAAATTAAAGCACCAAAATACATAAAATAAAATAAACTGAAATAAATGCATAAATTCATTCAAGTTAAAAATTTTAATTAATTTTTAAAATGCATTGAAATAAATACATAAATACACAAACAATAAACCAACTAATCAATCAATCAATCAATCAGCAAAACAATCATGATCTTCTTTATTCACTCTAATAACAGACTCCATGTTCTTGAAGTAAACTATACTCTCTTTGATTTGTGAGGTGAAACACGAGCCGGATGCGTTCTTCAGCATTTTCTTGTGATTCAAGCCGTTCTTCTCATCAAAGCTAATAACAAGGCTCATTATAACGGCAGTAATCAGCGAGTCGTCTTCAAACACATCGGTCAAAAGTTGCTCAGTGCGCGGGATAATCAGTTTATTTCCTGATCTGTGTAATAATCTCTAATGTTCATTAAGCCCTGCAGCATTCATTTCATCTCATCTGCTTCCAGTCGGCCCGTATTAAATAGCGAGCTTGCTAATTGTTATTCAATGTTAATTCGATGAACAAAGCACCTGCGATCCATTAGAAACATCAGGGAGGATGTTTACGAGCGGCCGCTGTCAGACGCGCTTCCGAACCAAAAACTTCTGCTGAAACGTGATGCTTTAGAGCTGAAATCAGAAATATGCACTATAAAGCATTAAATAAATGAGCCATAAGAGGCTGTGCGTTGAAATTATTTGACTATGGTTACAAACTGCAGTCTGTTCATTATGGTTTTTACTGCAGTGAAGTGCTTCTTACAAAAAAAAAACTGATGCAGACTAAATGAAATAAAATGATTAGAGTATTCCTGAACTAAATGAATAAAATAAAATAAATTTTAAAAATATGTGGGTCTCAGTAACAATTTCACATATATTTTATATAAAATATAAAATAAAAAATAGAAAATATGTGGGTCTCCGTAACAAACAAAGGAGGAGAGAGCATGAGGTCTTTTATTTTCCTTCACGTTTCTAGCAAACCAACAAAAAATGCAACTGTTTCAGTCTGGCTTCAATGCAGACTGTGAAAGAAGAAAAATATGTGAGATGCAGATGAAATAAAATCATCTGAACTCAGAACATTTCAGAAATAAATTAATAAATGTCTAAAATAAAATAAAATAAAATAAAATGAAATTAAATTAAATTAAATTAAATGAAATTAAAATTCTGGATCTCAGTAGCAATTTCACTTGTATTTTATATTTTACATAAAATTAAATTAAGTTAAATATAAAATAAAACAAAATATGTGATATGCAGATGAAATAAAATCATCTGAACTCAACATTTCAGAAATAAATTAATAAATGTCTAAAATAAAATAAAATAAAAATTCTGGATCTCAGTAGCAATTTCACTTGTATTTTATATTTTACATAAAATTTAATTAAGTTAAATATAAAATAAAACAAAATTCAATAAAAAATGTTTATATCAGAATATTTATATTTGAAATTAAAAATATACAAAAGAATATACAAAGACAATAAAATACATAATATAAATAAACACAATAAATAAAAAAATATATAAAATCAAATAAAAAAAATCTCAGTAACAATTTCACGTGTATTTTATATTATATAACATGTTTTATTACATTAATAAAAGCTAATAATATGCAAAATAAAATATAAAAAAATAGAAATCATAACATCAAATAAAAAATATAAAATGAAATTTTAAAATAAAATAAAATATGTGGGTCTCAGTAACATAATTTCCATCTGTCTGGCACTGCTGTGCTGAAGAATACACTCTATCTGAATGCAGACCTGTCTCTCTCTCTCTCTCTGTTCTGCCCGTCTCACTCTCTCGCTCAGACAGCGTTTCCAAGGCCAGAAGCACACGAGCGCATCATTAAGACGAACAGAGCGCTGTCTGTCCCAGAACCGCTGGGCTATTTTAAACACATAAGATGAGCATCATTACTGGACACCTGACACCAGAACCCTTCCACACGGCTCCAGACTCTCTCAGCTCATCACGTGATGCTTTTAATCACATTTTAACCAAACATCACTGCTTAGCGCATTAAAAATACACACCAAATGGAGCCGTTTCACTCTTAAACATAAATATGGAGCACTACTGTGTATTCATCATCAGTATATGTTACTGTTTATAACATCTTAATATTTTCATGCATTATAGTTGCATTTATCAGATTAGAGCTGGTCGATAATATACATTATGCACCAATATAATCAATCATGCAATATAGTATATATTGCTTTACGTGACTCTACAGTATTTATGCGGCTAAAGTATAATGTGATATATATACAATTTAACACAGTGAATATCAAATGGCAAATCAACTCTAGAAGTGTCCACAAAAACAAAAAGTGAAATGCAATAATGTCACCATGAATATGAAAAAGTGGCCAAACCATAGGCTGAATAAGAATATTGACTATTTTACAAATGCATAAATACGATGTGATTTACCAGCCAAACACAAACAAACACTAACATTATTATTGTTATTATTATTTAGCACTCCTATACCTCAAACAGTAAAGTATGACGCTGGCAGCACCAAAGTCATTGGTTCGATTCCCAGGGATTGCATGAACTGATAACACGCAATGCATGTCACTTTGGATGAAAGCATCTGCCAAAAGCATGGATGTAATTGTAGTTTTAGCCAAATGATCAAAGATGAATCTGACTGCATGCATGACTTTTCACATCAATGACATTATATCATTTTAAGTATTTTATTATTTGCATTTAGCACAGTTGTCACCGTGCTGTCAGCAATCCTATGAAAGCAGAAGAGACACACGATGGAGACACACTGCCCTCTAGAGGACACCACCGCTGCTAAACAAAGACAGAACATTACCTTACAGCAAGGTTAGGATTAATGCCTTTCATTCCATCATAGTATGTCAAACGCAGCAGTACTGTGTGTTATTTCTGCTCTCATATGTCCACATGAGCAGTTATGCAGAGCGTGAGTACTAGATTACAGACATAGGGAAATATTAACAAATTAGCCAAAATACAGAAATAAAAGTGTGAAGAAACGAGTACATTAAAGGATGGGATCTGCTGAGAAGATACTCATTACTGTCATGTCAAAAAAGGATGCATGATTGAAACTGTAAGTACATCTGTTGTATGTTAGTCAGCACACAATACAGTTTCATAAAAACAGGCTGCAGTTCCAAACGTTAATTTATTTGAAAAAAAAGAAAGAAAGTAAGTAAGAACCATTGTGTCCTGACAGGATGATTTTCATTAGTATCTTAACAGTTTTGCATTACAGTAAAGAAACTTTGGTGGAAAATGTACATTATGTTCATAAAAATAATGCCACAAATTCACAAATTCTAAGAAACTTGCACCTAAATATAATAAATGATATTAAAATTAATTATTTATCTTTACATACATATATCAGTGCCTATATATATATATATATATATG